TCCCGCCTGCACACGTCCTGCACGCTTCCAGCCCGGGCAGACACCAGGTCCTGAGCCTCGGGCCTGGAGTGGGGCGGACGGGGCAGGCAGCTCTGGTGCAGGCTGCCTGGAAGGGGCTGATTCCTGCTGGCTTCCAGTTTAGCAGGAAGAGTGTAACAGCAAAACAGAACATTCCAAAGCAGGAGGAACTGCATCCACGAGCCCACCCCTCAGACAAACGGTTTTGATTGCCAGTGCTGATTCCTTCACAAGCCTTCATTTGAGCCCTGAGTAGCTCCAGCTTCTCTGTCTTCAGTGGTATGAGGAGCGCTCTGCTGCTGCCCTTTTCCGGCTTTGCTGAACAATAACAGACAACAGAGCCCACTGCCATCACTGCTATTTCATTTACTGGTTTTCTGAGACAGGGTCTCCTGTGTAGCCCAGGCTAGCCTTGAACTTGAGGTGATCCTCCTGCCTCTGCCTCCGGGTGCTGGGATTCTAGGTGTGAGCTGCCACTTCTGGCTGATCATTGCCATTTTAATAGCCACATAACTAATAACTCACTTATGTTCACTGACACGCTCTGCCCCAACATGGTTGCTGTCACAGGCATCCTACTGTTTAGGCCTTTCACCAGCATGGCACAGGAGTAATAACCCCAGTGCTCTGGAGGGACAGGCGAAGACAACGACCTGGCAGTGCTGTTCTGCTTTGGTGTAGGTGTCCAAGGCAACCCAGGCCCTGGGCACCCGGAGGCTCTCCTCCCTGCCTGCCCCTACCATGTGCACAGACCTTACATCGTTGCTTCCTCCGAATGCCCCAGGAGAACTTCCCACAACTTCAGTCTGCTTGACACTACAGTGCTCGCATTAGGGAGAAAAAACCCTGCTCTTCCAAATGATTGCCTTTGAAAGAATCAGGGTCATTTGCAGAGTCTTCCCTTTTCCAACTCCGAGGTGGGAGGCCGGAAATACTCCAGGTGATGGTGAGGGTGGTGTACTCGTGAGAAGAGTCAGAAGGGGCAGAGAGCTTTCCAGTGGTCTTCTCACCCCAAGAGGGTCACAGGAAGTCACTCTGTGCAGCCAGAAGGGGCCCTCACCAGAGCCCACAACTTCCCAGTTTCAGGGCTGAGTGATACGGCCATCCTGCCCACAGCACTTGGTTACAAGAGCTAAGACAGAATTTTGTAGTTTTTAACTCTGACACTTAAGTTTTGTAGTTTTTAACTCATACTTAGATTTTTCATCCATTTTGAGGGTTTTTGGTTTTAGTGTCTTGAGACAAGGGCTTGCTATGCAGTTCAGGCTGACCTTGAATTCACTGCGTAGCCCAGGCTGGCCTCAAACTCGAGACAATCCTCCCATCTCAGCTTCCTGAGTGCGAGGATCACAGGTGTGCGCCACCACGCCCTGTCCGTTTTGAGGCATTTCTTGTAATCACTGCTGTGAGATAAGGGTCCTGTGTCACCCTTTTGCATGTGGACTTCCAGTTTCCTGGCTGCCCTTTTGAAGGCTGTCCTGTCCCTGGAATCTGCACTCTTGCTGACAGTCATTTGGCCATATATGCAGGGCTGATTTCTTGGCTGTCCATTCTGTCTCACTAATCTGTGCCTGTTGTTATGCCAATACCAAAGTGTCTCAATTACTACTCATTTAGTAGTCAGTTTTGAAATCAGGAATTGAGAGCCTTCCAACTTCATTTCTCTTTTTTGAAATTATTTTGGCTCTTCAGGGTCCCTAGAGATAACACATAATTTCCATGATGAATTTTTCTCTTTCTGAAAAAAAACATCATTGGGTTGTACACTGCTTTGGGTACTGATATCTTAACAGCAATAAGGTCCAATCTATACATATGGGATATCTTTCCATTTATTTGTGTCTTCTTTAATTTTTAGCAATATTTTGTAGTTTTTAGTGTACAAGTCTTTAGTCTCTTCAATTTTATTTCTAAGTATCATACTCTTTCAGGCTATTATAAATGAATTGTCTTCCTAATTTCCTTCTCATTGTTAGAGAAAAGAAGTGCAACTGATTTTTTGCATGTTGAGTTTTATCTCGCTGCTGTGCTGAATTTATTAGTTTGTGACCACTAATCCTGATACATCAACCTGACCTGGTTAGGAACAGGCAGTGGATTAGAAAGCCACACCTCTGAAGGGTCACGAGGCTCGACCTTGGATGCTGTATCTGGTTCCTGCTCCCCCACATCCTTCTGCCATGATGCTCCTCCAGTGGACCCAGCAGGTCAGGGACTGGATCCCCTGAAACTGTGAGCTGAATGAAACATCTCTAAGCTGTGGGATTCAGGATTGTGTCCAACAAGAGGAAAGCTGACTACTACAGAGTTGCAGCAGGGTTTTGTTTTGTTTTGGTGGCATGTTCTGAGTTTTCTACATGTATAATCATATCATCTACTGACAGAGATGATTTTACTTCTTCCTTTCCCATTGGAAGGATTTTTATTTCTCTTACCTAACTGCTCTGGCTGTGAGTTCCAGGAAACACCATGCTGACTCAAAATGGTGAAAGGAGCCATTCTTGTTCTGTCCATGATCTCAGAGGAAAGTGCTCAGTGGATCACTACTGATTACAATTGTAGCTGTGGGCTTTTTACAGATGACTTTGTAAGGTGGAGGCAGTTTCCTTCCATCCTACTTTGTGGAGCACTTTTTTTATGAAAGGGTGTCGAATCTTGTCAAACGCTTTTTCGTATCAATGAGATGGTCACATGGCTTCTTTCTCCCATTTCATTCTATTGACGGGGTATATGACAGATTGATTTTCTTCCTTTTGTTTTGGTATCGGGGATTGAACTTGGGTCCTTCCACTGAGCTAAATCCCTGGCCCCCAGATTAATTTTCATGAGCTGAACCATCCTATCATTCTGGAATTAAGTCCCACTTGGTCGTGGTATATAATCCTTTTGATATGCTGGTTAATTCCATTTGCTAGTATTCTGTTGAGGGTTTTATACCTCTCTGTCCCTAAGGGATACTTGCCTATGGTTTTCTTTTGTGTCTTCATCTGGCTTTGTATTGGAATGCTGGCCTCATAGAATGAGTTAGGAAGTGGTCGCGCCTCTCTGACATTTTTGGAAGCGTTTGAGAAAGGTTGGTGTCAGTTCCTTAAATGTTCAGTAAAATTTCAACAGTGATGTCCTCTGGTGCAGGGCTTTTGTTTGTTGGGAGGCTTTTGATTATTCATTCAGTCTCCTTAGGTTAACGATCTATTCAGATTCTCTATTTCCGCATGAGTCAGTTCTAAGGATTTGTCCATTCCATCGAGGTCTCTGATTACTGTCCTCTCTAGTCCTTTTCGTTTCTGGATCTCTGGTAAGTTTTCACCCAAACTGTTTCACACTGTAAGGGCATGATCTGTGACCGTGAGTGATGAGATTCTGCTGTGAGTGGAGGACTAGCGCCCCCTGCCAGATGCGTGAGCTTAGGGAGCCACCATCAGGGCCCTCAGGAGTTTGGCCACCACCCCATCCTATGCCCCTGTCTCTGGGCTGCGACAGCCATGGTGTGACATGGCTCGCTGTTCACTCTTAGCTTTCCTGAAATCATCAGTGTCCACCATGGTACAAATGCTTCCCTAGACACAGCCTGAAGCAGGGATGTAAGATGAGGCAGGCGCCCTGGTCACACAGGAAGGAGCGGGAGTGCTGTGCCCCACACTGCGCTTGGGAACCCCAAGACACGGCCGGGGCCACCCACACTCGGGCTGGGCCACAGGGCCAGCTCAGGAAAGCACCTCCACCCTGGGTGCTCTCAGGGCCCCCGCTGGTGAGTCCTGAGCCCCAGGAGACACCCTGCAGAGGAACCCCGACTAGTGGGGCCCCGTCCGAGGCCAGCCGAGCCCACTGGGCTGAGCTGCAGACTGCCATGGGGCCCCCAGCCACCTCAGGCCTCTTGGCCACAGGCTCCTGCCACAGGGGCGAGGGCCCGGGCCCGGGGAGGTGACCACACAGCAGGGGACACAGCGACCACACCTGGCCAGGGCCGGTGGGTGCTCAGGCCCCACCTGGCTTCCTCCTGACTGGAGCCTGCAGTTAGACCTCCAACTGCATGCAGAGCCATGGAGAGTGGCCGGCAATCAGAGGACACAGGGCTTAGGGACATGGCTGCATCGCCATTAGCCACCTCTTGGGGTTTTACTTTTCTAGTGATCACAGCCCAGGGTTACTGTTTTTCATCTTTATCCGGAAATGGCTGCTCTGTCCCCTCCCTGGACTTCCCTGGAGCACAGGTCAAGGGAGCTCCACTGCGTGCACACCATCCCACAGCTCCAGGAAGGGAGCAGGGGAAGCAGGCTCACTTGGTCCTCAGAGCATCCCCCAGAGGGGCGAGCTGGAGCCCCCGAGCCTGAGTCTGCCCTTCCTTTCAGCCAGGGGCGAAGCCCTTTCTGGCCGTGCCTGTCTCAGAGAGCAGGGCCAGCTCACAACACAGCGTCCCTCGAAGCGTCCTTAACCAGTGGTCCCCGGGGGTGCACAGGCACTCACCCAAGAGGCCAGCAGGGGACACCCTGCACCTGCAGCAGCCCTGCGAGGGTTAGAAAGAGCTAGGGCTGCAGTTCAGTGTGAAGGCCCTGGGTTCACTCCCCAGTACCACAAAACTAAAAACAAAGCTAATCTGTGCCAATGGACAGCGTCCAGGCAGTGGAGACCCTTTGGGGCTGGGGCTGCAGTCCCCAAGAGGTTTCCTGTCTCCACCAGAGGCTCACTGAGCTGCGCTGCAGAGCCAGCACTCACCGGCGGCAGCCCTTCCCCTCGACGCCTGCCTGGGCTCGGGCGCTGGATGAAGGAGCGCGTGGAGACCTTGTAGTGGCTCAGCAGGCAGACGATGACCACGAGCATCACGGTGACCACCACGATGACTATGATGATTTGGGCGAACTCCAGCTCCGCTGCAGGGAAAGGACAGCAGTGAGACACTAGCCCGCTACACCTGTGGGCCGCGAGACAGAGGCCCTCGTGGGAGAGGAGGAAGGAGCTGTTGCCATGGGCACCCGAGCCACAGCTGCCGCCCCAGCGCCCCACGTGGGGCCCTTCCCCAGGTCTGGCCTTGGAGCCACCAGGAGAGGGCCCTGAAGGGGGCACATGAACGGTCAGAGCCCCTCCAACCCCTCGGCTGCAGCTGCCGGACGCCACAGGAAGCCCAGGCTCTGCCCCCCACCTAGAGGAGCTGAGCAAGTTGCTCAGAACCACGCCTCCCAGTACCACCTCCCTCGGGCACTGGGGCCGGCTCCACTGCTGGGTTTCTAAGAGCCATGGTGTAGGAAGCACACGGAGGGACAAGGAGCCCCACCATGGTCCTCAGACGCTGGAATGCCGGGGCCACCCTGGGCTCCAGCACTGCCTGGACAAGGGACTCGCTGGAGGCCCGGCACGGTCCTGCAGTGACTTGAGTGACAGTGTGAGGAGCTGTTGTCAGGGCCCAGCCTCGCCCGGCCCTGGAAGGGAGTCAAGGCATGGGGTGTGGCGTGCAGGGTGGGCATGGCTCCGGTGGACAGGGAGTGGGGCTCCAGGACCCAGCAGGGACACCAGCTCCTCAGTGCCAGCCTGTCCACAAACCGTGCTGTGTGCACAGACCTGGGCACCCTGCACTGTGCCCCCGGGTCACCGCCTGAGGCAAAGCCAACGGGATGCTGATGGCTGCTGTGTTGTCCAGGGAGGGACGGTGAGGGAAAGCCTGTGTGCTCTGCCTGGACACACAGACACATGCCTGTCTCCATCCTTGCCCTCCAGGCTTGGCTAGGTCCAGTGGAGGACGCCCTGGTTACGGAGGGCAGATGAACTCATGGCCTTGAGCCCACACTGCATGTATACATGCACACGCCCTGGTGCAGGCCCTCTGGCCAAGGCAGGACCCGCAGTCCAGGGCCGAGCAGGCCTTCCTGGGATGCAGGGCTGGGATGATGCCAGGCCCCACCTTGGGCTCCGCCCCACTCCAACTCTAGGAGCCCACATCAGGGGCCAGTGGTGCCCACATGTGCCTGCTGACTGGGCCACAGAAGGAGCCCAGTGGGGAGTGGCTGGCCAGGTTCTCCTTGCACACCCAGCGAGGCTGAAGACTGCAGGGGCCAACTCGGGAGGCACAGAGCGAGTGCCCTGGAGCTGGCCACCAGCAAGGACCCCAGGCGGGGACTTGGTGCCCAGCTCAGCCCCAGGTGCCCACCAGAGGATGTCCTCGAGGGGACACGGGCCTCGGGGCTCCTGGAAAGACAAGAGCACCCCTGTCAGAACGGGGGCTTCTGCCCTCAGGAACAGGCACGCACACCTGTCCTGCGACTCCCCTGCTCAGGACCCTGCCTCGGGCCTCCGGCCTGGAGCAGATCACCTTCGCCTCCTTCAGTCGAAAGAGACAGAACACGGATGACCAGAACCCGGAGGAGGAGAGCAGAGGGCCCTGGGGCTGCAGGAGGACCCAGAGCACGTGCTGCCTCTCCCTCACAACCCCTTCCCTGCTGAGCAGGACGAGTCCTAACCCCACTGTGATCTGTGCTGTGGATGGGGACGCAGACAGATGCCTGCAGTTAGGGGAATGGGTGAGGAAGGAAATGAAGAGGAGAATGAATTCCGGAAGAGTCATTAAGATGGAAAGATTTCCTTTGAACCCACAGGAACAGTAGCATTCTAAGAAAATGGGCTGCTTTGGGTTTTCCAAACTCTCCAGTGCCCATATGGATTCTGGACGCAGCTCGTGGTCAGTTTTCCCACCACCAAGAGCTAAAGCAGATTTGTGAGGAGAGTTCAGGCTGTGTTCTCACATGCGGCCTCCTCTGATGGGGCCGTGGTTTCAGGAGCTGTGACACTTGAATCACTGCCGTCCCAAGCCTAAAGCTTACAGGAAGACACTGCAGCCCTGCCTTGTATTGCTGTGTCAGGCTGGCAGCTCTGCTTTTACAGAAGTATCTCCAAGAGTCCCACACACTGAGGTAGGGAGTCACAGACAAGGAACTGCAGGAGGCCTTGGGCTCTTCCCTGCTCCGTCAAGAGCCGAGTTAGACCAGGCTGGCAGCACAAGGGCTCATGCTGTGACCCTGGGGAGGTGCAGGTGTCCCTCCTCAGGCTCCCAACAGGACCCACGCTTCTGTCTGTGGGACTGGAGACTGCGCCTTCTTCATAGAAGCCCCAGGCTCTCTGTGCTTGCAGCTCAGCATGGCACAGGCGGCACAGATGTGACCAGGCTGGGCCCCAACTGCCCGTCCTTCTCCCGGCCTGTGTGATCACCTTTCTACCTCTTGATGTCAAGCTCCCGGTGTGTCCGAGCCCAGTGTGGCATGGACAGGGTCTCATTAGCACCATGCTCTGGTCCTCTCCTACAGGGACCATGGGCACCATGCCGCATGGCTCCACCGCGTCTGGGCAGAACCATCGCACACAGGCCGCAGAGGAGCCATCGGAAGGCAGGGACTGTACTGCCCCACTGCCAGGGACACATTCCACCCAGCGCTCACCACTGGCTTTGGCAGTGCTGAGGTTCTGCCAAAGGTTTTCCTAGTTCATGCCAACTGGCCAACATTCCTACCCGAAGGAGGTGTGAATGGTTACCAGAAAAAGAGGCTCATGGTTGCTGGAAGCTACCTGCTTATATACTCTTCTTTACATTAATGTTTACCCAAGACAGTTTGTGTCATGATTAAATTGGGAGATGTGGTGCAGAGATGTCACCAACCCCAGCCCTGTGGGTGTTCCAAGGTCAGCACCCGCAGGGCAGGACGGCAGGATGGCAGGCCAAGTGTATAATCCTTTGCAAAGTCTCCCCTGCTATGCTGCAAATGGAGAAAACACACACCCGAAACCACAGCTCCCCATAGGACTCATGTAAATCCCAGCCTCTGCCTGCCTCCACATGGCTAATGTGAGAATGTGTCAGGAGGGCATGGAGACACTCAGGTGGCCCGGTCACCGCCTGAATGCCACCAGGAACTCTTCACAGTCAGGTCTCAGTCTCACTGTGCCTTTCAGTCCACATGGCTCTGAGATCAGAGAGAAGGACCCGGGCAACAGAGAGGGCAGCTCGGGCAGGAGGGCAAGGCCTATCCAGGGGCAGGTCCTCCCAGCCCCTCCCATGCCTGGTCCGTGAGTGTCAGCCATGTGGACCCCACCTTCGCTCCCTGATGCCCCGGGGCTGTGTGAAGGGGCTGCAGGGCCTGTGGCCAAACCCCCTGGAGCAGCCACAGTCAGAATGCAGTATGCTATGATGACAACACACATAACCTCAGCTGCAGCACAATCTGAGCCCAGAACGGCCTTTGTTTCTCCTTACTCAGGGCAAATAAGAATGACATGTGGGCCATAACAGTAGTCCCGGCTGTAGACAGAGCTGCCAAGGCAAAACTACAATCCACTGGTTATGACCAGCCCTGGAGACAGCTGCCAGCCAGTGGCCAGCGCCTGCTGTGGGTGGGCGGTCAAGACCCCGCTCGTCATTGCTGTGGGGGCGGGAGGACAGAAGCAGCACCAGAGACTTTCCCACGGCTGCGTGTGGGTGAAGACACAGGGAACAAGAAAAGGGACGGCTGCCAGCACTGCAGCGAGTCAAGGCGGTATGACACGTCCTGGCTGATTTCCAAGTTACAAGTGGAGTAAGGTCAACCTCAACCCCAACCCTAAACCCCAACCCTAACCCTAGTCACACCGCAAGCTGGAGGGCCAACCCTGCGCATGGTGCCCACTCCACCCAGGGTCCCCTTGTCCCCAGAGCAGAGTCCTGTGGGTGGGGATGGTGGGAGGCTGACCCCCGGCCCTCACAGAGGTCGAGCATACGATGGCACATGCATGCTGCAGCCGGGAGCCTGGCAAACATGCTGACCATGGGCTGCAGCACACACCTGCATCCGGAATGGCTGTGAACAGCCTGCTGTGGGGCCTGGGTCACTTTAAACGAGTACTTCGTGTGCTCAGTTAGGTTAACGTGCCTCTCGTCACACGGCCACATGTCTGTCCTGGCTGCTTCCTGACCCCTGGTGTGTCCATGAGAGCCAATCTTAATTAAGCTCCCTCACTCCACTGTCTCCCTGTCCAACCTGGACTTCACAGATGAAGGCTCAGTCCTAAGTGCCCACACCTCATGCACACACACGTGCCCAGCCTGCCCCTGCCCTGGGGGTGGATCCACATAGGAGCCCTGGCTTGTGCTCACCAAGGCCAGGCCACACTGCCGGCTCTCCGGCACTTGTCAGGGCTTGTCTGGGTTCATCTGTCCGGTAGTGTTCACAAAGAAACCTTTTGTGCGTGGTAGGCATTGCACCCATGGCCTCACACATGCCAGGCAAGTGTTATACCACTGAGCTACATCCCCCACCCCTGTTTACTTTGAGACAGGATCTAGCTGTGCTGCCCAGGTTAACCTTAAACTTGAGATCCTGGGCCGGGGATTTAGCTCAGTGGTTTCACCACCTGCTGCACAAGCACAAAGACTGGACTTCGATCCCCGGTACAAAAAACACCACAAAAACTGGAGATCCTTCTGCCTCAGCCTCCCCGACTTCATCCCCTAGTAGCTGAGATTCTAGGCATGCACCACTGTGATCAGTGGTATTCTAGATTTTTGTTCCTGTCCACTTTTAAGCACCACTTGAGGAGGATGCTTCAGAAAAAAAGTCCAAAGTTGTAATTTAGGGGTGCAGGCCCCATGCACATTTTGTATCCTGGGCCACAGCAATAAGTGAACTGCTAGGTTGTTTTTTTTTTTTCTAGCACTGGGGATTGAACCCAGACACTTTGCACTGGGCAACATTCCCAACTCTGCTTTAAATTTTTGAGACAGTGTCTTGTTAAGGTGCTAAGCTGCTTAGGCTGGGGTTGAACTTATGATCCCTTTGCCTCAGTCTGATAGGTGTTGTCTTAGTTCTTTTTCTCATTACTGAGGCACAATACCCAACACCCATAAGTTGAAGGA